GTAAGAGAACTAAAGAAGTGCCACCGTGGCTAATACCAACAAAGTAAAAGAAGCAGTCAGAAGCAAAAAGGAATCCTTTCAAAAAGTAGACGTTAAATCCTAGTGAGAAAAATAGAAAGGAGCATAAACTCTGGCAAATGAAGTGTAAAAATATAATTAGGAAGGCCAAAAAAGAATTTGAAGAACAGCTAGCCTAAGACTCAAAAAGTAATAGCAAAAATTTTTTAAGTACCTCAGAAGCAGGAAGCCTGCTAAACAACCAGTGAGGCCACTGGTTGATTGAGATGCTAAAGGAGCACTCAAGGATGATAAGGCCATTGCAGAGAAATAAAATGAGTTCCTTTGCATCAGTCTTCACGGCTGAGGATGTGAAAGAGATTCCCTAACCTGAGCCATTGTTTTTAGGTGACAAATCTGAGGAACTGTCCCAGATTTGAGGTGTCATTAGAGGAAATTCTGGAACAAATTGATAAACTAAACAATAATAAGTCACCAGGACCAGATAGTATTAACCAAAGAGTTCTGAAGGAACTCAAATGTGAAATTACAGAATTACTAACTGTAGTCTGTAACCTATCATTTAAATCAGTTTCTGTACCAAATGACTAGAGGATAGCTAATGTAATGCCAATTTTTAAAAAGGGCTCCAGAGGTAATCCTGGCAATTACAGGCCGGTAAGCTTGACTTCAGTACTGGACAAACTGGTTGAAACTATAGTAAAGGACAAAATTGTCAGATACATAGATTAACATAATTTGTTGGGAAAGTGTCAACATGTTTTTTGCAAAGGGAAAACATGCCTCACCAATCTGCTAGAATTCTTTAAGGGGGGTCAACAAGGGGTACTTAGATTTTCAGAAAGCCTTTGACAGGGTCCCTCACCAAAGGCTCTTAAGCAAAGTAAGCTGTCATGGGATAAGAGGGAAGGTCCTTTCATGGATTGGTAACTGGTTAGAAGATAGGAAACAAAGGTTAGGTATAAATGGTCAGTTTTCAGAATGGAGAGAGGTAAATAGTGATGTCCCCCAGGGGTCTGTACTGGTACCAGTCCTATTTAACATATTCATAAATGACCTGGGAAAAGGGGTAAAACAGTGAGGTGGAAAATTTGCAGATGATACAAAACTATTCAAGATAGCTAAGTCCCAGGCAGACTGCGAAGAGCTACAAAAGGATCTCTCAAAACTGGGTGACTGGGCAACAAAATGGCAGATGAAATTCAATGTTGATAAATGCAAAGTAATGCACATGAGAAAACATAATCCCAACTATACATATAATACAATGGTATCTAAATTAGTTGTTACCACTCAAGAAAGAGATCTTGGAGTTATTGTGGATAGTTCTCTCAAAACATCCACTCAGTGTGCAGCGGGAGTCAAAAAGGCTAACGGAATGTTGGGAAACATTAAGAAAGGGATAGATAATAAGACAGAAAATATCATACTGCCTCTATATAAATCCATCATAGGCCCACATCTTGAATACTGCGTGCAGACGTGGTTGCCCCATCTCAAAAAAAGATATATTGGAATTGGAAAAGGTCAGAAAAGGGAAACAAAATTATTAGGGGTATGGAACAGCTGCCATAGGAGAACAGATTAATAAGACTGGGACTTTTCAGCTTGGAAAAGAAACAACTAAGGGGGGATATGATTAAGGTCTATAAAATCATAACGGGAGTGGAGAAAGTAAATAAGGAAGTGTTATTTATGCCTTCTCATAACACAAGAACTAAGTGTCACTAAATGAAATTAATATACAACAGGTTTAAAACAAACAAAAGGAAGTATTTCTTCATGCAATGTAGCGTCAACCTGTGGAATGCTTTGCTAGAGGATGTTATGAAGGTCAAGACTATAACAGGGTTCAAAAAAGAACTAGATAAATTCATGGAGGGATAGGTCCATCAATGGCTATTAGCCAGAATGGGCAGGGATGGTGTCTCTAGCCTCTGCTTGCCAGCGACAGGGAACGAGCGATATGGAATGGATCACTTGATGATTACCCGTTCATTCCCTCTGGGGCACCAGGCGTTGGCCACTGTCAGAAGACAGGATACTGGGCTAGATGGACCTTTGGTCTGACTCAGTATGGCCATTCTTATGTTCTTACCTCTACAGATGTAATGAGGATTAGTTAAAGTTTGTACATTGATTTAACTACAGAAAGTATGTATTATTAACCAATTTTGTAAGTTTCACAATTACAATGCTTATAGTGTCCCATCAACTCCTTGAACCTCATGTATATTATGTGGGCCCAATTTTCCCAAATAGCCACCTAAATGATAGGTGATATTGAACTTCCATGCACGGGCCCTTACCTGTACAAACAGGTAACTGTGCACCTATTATCTGCTCACAAGCAACTGTGAGATTTGTGTGTGAAATCCAGGTGATTACAGGGCTGTGTATAGTTGAAGCCATATTTTTACAAAGCTCTCTTTGTCTGAAGTTTCTTCAAACAGTTTGGCTTCAAATTATTTGTGTCCATTCTATGCTCAGAAGAAAGTGCAGTATCTATGCAAGAACAAATCCAACAAGAAAGAGGCCACTGACATTTTTAAAGGGCAAATCGAAAACAATCAACACTCAACAAAATGCTCCCATGTAGGCAGAGGAATACTTTAGGATACTATAATGAAGCTAACAAGTACTGTAATGTTTTACTGTAAATTAACACAAGATAATCTCTTCACATATTTAAGTGATACACTTCAAATTAATTAATACATATTTAATATAAGTCTTCTTGAACAGCTGTTATTCACGTCTAGAGTTTCTACACATAACACTGGCTGCTTTGTTCTGCTGCAAAGTTATTCATGCTCTGCAGTACTCTGAGAACTTGTGTAAAATTGAACATTCTTCCCAAAAGACACAGCCTTCCTGATAACTTAATATTTTTACATTAAATATTCAAGCATTTTCTACATAAAAAGGTCAAATTCTATTTACAGCATCTGTGCGCAACAGACAAGCAGATGCTTAATGATGCTAGACAAATACTTTCAGCAGAAAGAATGATAAAGAGTTGGCGATCAATCACCCTCTTGGGCTTTAAAATCAGCTTTTCTTTGACATGGGTCCCTACATCCTGCAGTTACATTTTCATATAATAATTTAGGGCCAAATTATGGCCTTGGTCCTCTTTTACACTGGGGTAGCAATCATTGAGTGGAGGTGCTCTCTCTGACACATTCAGTGCATATTCGGAATATTACACAAAATCACTAGAAGGTTTCTCTCTTATAAGGTTACGGTGTACCTGATGTTATTTCATTTTAGACCTTATAGACATTGCCAAAACGTGCAGATTTCTTGGTTCCTAAGAATAGCTATTACAGAAACAGGGCATGTTGTGTTCCTCACTTAGTTCACAGCAATGGTATTAAACACATTGAGCCTGATTCTCCTCTCACTTAACCCCCCTTTTTAGAATCTTGTTACTCCACTGATGTCATTAGAGTTACTCTTAACTAACATGGTATAAGTGAGTAGAAAATCAGGCCAAGTAATTTTATTTTTCTTTGTTTCTAGTAACACTACAGTAACACATTAGATTTTCACCTTCACAGTAATTAATGTGACTTTTAGCAACTGTAATCAGTGTCTTTAAAAACTATCATTGCTGCACAGTCATTATCAATGTATTTGTTGCACTTTCCAATTGACTGCTTTAAAACGTTTCCAACACTAGATTGATTATTAGCTGGTGCTCTTTGTTCACATGCTAGTCTTTCTAGTTTCATCATTTTCTTAACAATGAATTTCAAAGTTGGTGATAATTCCACTAGAAAACATGTGACACTACAAGAAGAACTTCATCTACTATGCAATCAGGTATGGAAATATATGCAAGTTCAGAATTGCTTGAAACCTCCCCATAAACACACAGGTGGGAAAAAAAACATTATTAATTTTAAAACATGGAAATCAGTTGTTTTTACTGAATTCTAAACACATTGCTTTTTAATTTTATACAGCATATGGCTTTGTAAACAGGACAAGTACTATATAATATGGGTCTCATAATTTAGTATTAAGGACTTAAAGAATACACAAAGTGAACATCCTGGCTAGCATATAGATTAATATGTTACAATATGTAGAGTTTCAGAGTAGCAGCCGTGTTAGTCTATATTCGCAAAAAGAAAAGGAGTACTTGTGGAACCTTGATGCATCCGATGAAGTGAGCTGTAGCTCACGAAAGCTCATGCTCAAATAAATTGGTTAGTCTCTGAGGTGCCACAAGTACTTCTTTTCTTTTTGCGAATATGTAGAGTGTAAATGGATGAAAAATAATTTAACATATGAAGGACCCCATGCTTCCCAATACTTCTGCACACAGCCCGTGTATGCAGACTCTGCTTGGGGGCTGGGGATGTATGAAAAGGGAAGAGTAACGTCTTTAGGACATTATCTACTCTTCCCTGCTGATGTTCTGTAGTTCTGGAGGGAACACACCAACCAGACCCACCAAATTGCAGGGGAAGGAGTGCAAGTTACTGCAGACACAGACATTTGTAACACATCACTTCCGAAGATTTGAAACTCTGTGTGTGTATGACACACATGCTTCTGAAGCATCTGTGCTTTCTACAGGCCACAGCAAGTCACAGGACTCAACAGCCTTTGGTGGAACCATGGGACAGACAGGTAAGTCCAGGGAGAAGGAACCATGGGAGAAGGCTTACGTTGAGTTTCATGCTGTGTTTTTTGGAATTACCTTTATCTTTACAAAACAAAACCTCTGGGAGATGATCTTTTTGCTCTACAATAAGTGTGCCATTTTATTTGGAGATGGGTGGGTCTCCACCAGCTTACAAAGGGTTTACACTTATCCTTTGATATACATAACATAATCTACATTAGCATCAATGGAAGCTACGCACAGATGTCAAGAGAGAGATTCCAAAGGACAGATTTCACTCACAGTCTCAAAGAATGAAAACACACATACATTCTATCAAAAATGAAAGAGTAAAATCTCAAAATATAATCAGAAATTGTCATTTTTATTTACATTTGACTGTTTTTCACATGATAGTTCATGAAGTAAATACATTTCCAACCCAACGAATCTGCAAAATACATTATAAATATATAATAAATAAATACTATCGTGCAAAATTTCTTCTTTCACTTGGGTGCTCAGATAAAAACACCTCTCTGAAATGTATCCATGTAGAACATGTCTGGGTCCACATCATTCTCACTAAAACATCACACAGATTTTCACATTATGAACCCAAAATAACAAAAAAGATTTTTTAAAGATCTTTTAGTACTTCTATCATTCTCTGATTTTACATAAGCACACAATGACTTCTAGACCTTTTTTTGGCTAAGGAAAATCATTTTTTATTCGTGATAATTTATTAGTTTTAAGAGATGGCTGAATCTATCCACTATTGTTTTCTGTGTTGAAGAATTCTTTGTGAAAAATGAAAATCTGTGTTTACCCCTCAGTACAACAAGAAAGGCTTCCATCACAATTACCCCTGTGTGTATCAGGAAGGATCTTGGCAGTCTGCAACATCACTAATACTAATCCTGAGAAGTGCAGAGCTGAATTAGCTGGTCTGGAAACAGCATTAAATCTTCATTTCAAATGCTTTTACTAAAATATTTTGTCAAAATTCCTAAAAAATGTCAAGCAGCTCTATTTAAAATAATTTAAATATTTACACTTACTCTTCATTAAGTACTGAAAGTGAATCCATTTCCCAATTTTTTTCAAAATTTTGGTTGTGGTACAGCATTTCCAAGTCAGCCTGATGCTGTAATGGCAGTAGACCGTACCATCTACAACTGGCTGAAACCTCAGGAAGTACTAATGGCTTCAGACAGATGAGGTCCTGGGGAGGATATTGGGACCTCCAATTGGGAAATGCCATCAACAGGGAGAAGAGTTATTAAATCATGATTTAAGCAACGGCAACCACAAACCAGAGAGAAGGCAATAGGAAACCACCCCGTGTATTTTCTCCCATGAGACCAATCATGGCAGAACAAAGGCAACATGATCCATGTGTGGCACTGGATGGTGAGATACCTCCCACGTCAAAAGGCTCATCAAATTATCCTGGGGAGGAGGTTCTGGCCATCAAGAGTACCAGTTGCAGTTACGATGGTGCTGTACCAAATCCTTTGGGAAGTACAGTACCTGATGTTTGCACCAAGGAAAAGAATAACTTGAACCTTCATAAAAGAATGATCAGAACAGGAACATGGATTGTGAGGCGTATGTATGAAGGGAACTTTGCCATTTACAAAGATGTAAGATAGATATACATGAAATCTAAGCTGTGATGGAATGGTAGAAGTCACTTCATGATGATGGATGGGTATGTGGTATACACTCAGGTTCTGAGAAAGTGAGAAAAAAGGGGTTGCATTTATTTTATTCAAGGAGACACCAAAGTGTGTGCTTGGATATAATACAATCAGCAACACAACCATTACAATTTGCCTTCAAGCAAAGTCAGTTAAAAGGTTGATCATAGAGGTTTAAGCCTCTATGCAGCTGACGAGCGAACAATTTATGGCATTCTATGAATGATTTGAAGAGACACTTATTAAAACACCAAGTGAAGACATCACCCTTGTAATTGGAGATCTGAACACAAAAGTTGGAGTTGTAAGCTCTCAAAGAAATAAAGGGAAACAGTGGTCTGGGTTTACAATATGAGAGGAAGATGTTTAGTCGAAGTCTGTACTGTAATCATCTGATCATTACAAACAATATCTTCACCCAACATCCTATATGTTTACATATATGGAGGTCACCTGATGATGTGACAAAGAACCAGTTCAACTATGTAATGATACAGGGACGCTGGAGATAAAGCGTCCAATGGACAAAGACTTCCCTGAGTGCAGACTGTGGGTCAGACCATCAACTGTTACCCTCAAACATAAAATTAAAATGTAAAAAGATAGGACGTTTGGCAGGTCCGCTGCGTCTGCACTTGTCCCAAATCAACTAAAACTACATGACTTCCGTAAAGAACAGGTGTGAGTCACTATCATATGTGAAAGAGAAGAAAAAACCTGAATGACTTTTGGAATAAAATGAAAACTATCATGCTTGAAGCCACTAAAGCACACATTCCAAAAAGTGAGTGTCAGACCGCACCATAATTAACAGAGAAGGTTAAGGTTGGAGACTGAAGAATGCAGGAGAGAAAATACGCTGTAAGGAACTGAGCAGACAGATAGAAAGGCAGACTAGAGGAGATAAGAGCAAATACATTAGAGCAAAATGTGAGGAACTCGAGAATTAAAATAATAAAACAAAAGGTATGTTCACAGTGGTCAGACATTTTAGTAAGAAGTTTTCCCTGCAACCAAGCATAATAAAAGATCATGACAGTAGTGTTTTTACTGAAGGTGGTGATTTCAAACACAGAGAGATTACTGTGCCAACCTCTATGCCTCATCAGAGCCACTTACAATACAGGATGACAGAAAAGAGAGTACAGAGCCTGAGCCATCAATCCTGAGTGAGGAAGTGGTGCGTGCTTTTATGAAAATGAAGCTTGGGAAAGCACCAGGGGTAGATAATGTGCCTGCAGAATTGTTAAAAGTGATTGGTGATGGTGATATTGATCTCATGTGGAAAATTTGCAACAATGCATGAATGACTAGAAATTGACTGGATGATTGGACAAAGGGAATTTTTCTGCTCTTACCAAAGAAAGGAAATATAACAGCACAGTGACTATTGTACCATCTCCTTGATATAGCATGCAAGTAAAGTGTTCCTCTGTATAATTCAGGACAGCACGAAGCAAATGACAGAAGCAGAACTACCATCACCACAAGCTGATTTTAGAGAGGGACGAGGCACATACAATCAAATTGCAAATATTCAGCAATCCATTGATTAGGCGTTTCTCTGACTACTCCAAAACATTTGATATCATCCATCATGACAGTCTCTGGAGGATACTGGCTGACATGGGGATTCCAAAGCATCTAATTGAATTCGTGACAAGTCTCCATCATCAACAGATCATGGTGCAAACAGCAGTAAGTTTTCCATTGGTACATGGAGACAGAATGCTCCTTTGCCTCCCAAGTCTTTTTAATATGTATGCAGAATTTCTTGTGAGACAAGCCCTGAAGGTTTTGATAAAGTGAAAGGAACTAGGATTTCCATTGGTGAACACCTCTTACTGACCTCGGATATGCTTTTTGTTGCAACCATCAATGGAATTCAACAAATGTTGGTGTCTGTTAAAAACAGTTAATGAGAAATATGTACTACTGAAAGGGGCAAAAATGAAAATGCATGTATCTTGACACTATCACTAACATCAGGATGCAAGTGGACAACAAGATTAATGGTCAAGCTGTAGAGGAAGTAGATTGATTTAATTATCTGGGATCATTCATAGTCCAATCAAGGAGGCTAGTCTAAAGAAATCGGAAGAAGACTAGGGATGGCTTGTTCAGTCGTGGCCTCCCTTATAAAAGTGTGGCCTCTCGAAACATAGAATCATAGAATATAAGGGTTGGAAGGGACCCCAGAAGGTCATCTAGTCCAACCCCCTGCTCGAAGCAGGACCAATTCCCAGTTAAATCATCCCAGCCAGGGCTTTGTCAAGCCTGACCTTAAAAACCTCTAAGGAAGGAGATTCTACCACCTCCCTAGGTAACGCATTCCAGTGTTTCACCACCCTCTTAGTGAAAAAGTTTTTCCTAATATCCAATCTAAACCTCCCCCACTGCAGCTTGAGACCATTACTCCTCGTTCTGTCATCTGCTACCATTGAGAACAGTCTAGAGCCATCCTCTTTGGAACCCCCTTTTCAGGTAGTTGAAAGCAGCTATCAAATCCCCCCTCATTCTTCTCTGCTGCAGGCTAAACAATCCCAGCTCCCTCAGCCTCTCCTCATAACTCATGTGTTCCAGACCCCTAATCATTTTTGTTGCCCTTCGCTGGACTCTCTCCAATTTATCCACATCCTTCTTGAAGTGTGGGGCCCAAAACTGGACACAGTACTCCAGATGAGGCCTCACCAATGTCGAATAGAGGGGAACGATCACGTCCCTCGATCTGCTCGCTATGCCCCTACTTATACATCCCAAAATGCCATTGGCCTTCTTGGCAACAAGGGCACACTGCTGACTCATATCCAGCTTCTCGTCCACTGTCACCCCTAGGTCCTTTTCCGCAGAACTGCTGCCTAGCCATTCGGTCCCTAGTCTGTAGCTGTGCATTGGGTTCTTCCGTCCTAAGTGCAAGACCCTGCACTTATCCTTATTGAACCTCATCAGATTTCTTTTGGCCCAATCCTCCAATTTGTCTAGGTCCTTCTGTATCCTATCCCTCCCCTCCAGCGTATCTACCACTCCTCCCAGTTTAGTATCATCCGCAAATTTGCTGAGAGTGCAATCCACACCATCCTCCAGATCATTTATGAAGATATTGAACAAAACCGGCCCCAGGACCGACCCTTGGGGCACTCCACTTGATACCGGCTGCCAACTAGACATGGAGCCATTGATAACTACCCACTGAGCCCGACAATCTAGCCAGCTTTCTACCCACCTTATAGTGCATTCTTCCAGCCCATACTTCCTTAACTTGCTGACAAGAATACTGTGGGAGACCGTGTCAAAAGCTTTGCTAAAGTCAAGAAACAATACATCCACTGCTTTCCCTTCATCCACAGAACCAGTAATCTCATCATGAAAGGCGATTAGATTAGTCAGGCATGACCTTCCCTTGGTGAATCCATGCTGGCTGTTCCTGATCACTTTCCTCTCATACAAGTGCTTCAGGATTGATTCTTTGAGGACCTGCTCCATGATTTTTCCAGGGACTGAGGTGAGGCTGACTGGCCTGTAGTTCCCAGGATCCTCCTTCTTCCCTTTTTTAAAGATTGGCACTACATTAGCCTTTTTCCAGTCATCCGGGACTTCCCCGGTTCGCCACGAGTTTTCAAAGATAATGGCCAATGGCTCTGCAATCACAGCCGCCAATTCCTTCAGCACTCTCGGATGCAACTCGTCCGGCCCCATGGACTTGTGCACGTCCAGCTTTTCTAAATAGTCCCTAACCACCTCTATCTCCACAGAGGGCTGGCCATCTCTTCCCCATTTTGCGATGCCCAGCGCAGCAGTCTGGGAGCTGACCTTGTTAGTGAAAACAGAGGCAAAAAAAGCATTGAGTACATTAGCTTTTTCCACATCCTCTGTCACTAGGTTGCCTTCCTCATTCAGTAAGGTTTAACTGGTGAAAAGTATAATTTTTTTCCATAGCGACTTATGGAAGTGAATCTTAGGGAACTAATGTGGATGACTAGAAGAAAACTGAAGCCTTTGAATGGGGTGCTGGCATATACTCTTATGTTCGAAATATTATTGGAGAAAAGAGGACTCTGCTCTCAGAAATCAACAGGCACAAACTTATGTAGTTTGCTCACATCAGCCATAGAGATGGAAATAATCTTGAGAAAGTCATCACGGAAGGAGTTCATGATGGGTCATCACAGCAAAAGGACCAACAAAGAGATAAATAGATGGGGTGCCACTTAAAACTGGGAGGGGCAGCTGCTGAGTGTCTGAAATTAGTGATGGATCAAGACTTCCAAAAATTCTGCTACGACGTCACTAGTATTCAGACATGAATAAATGGACTTTACTAACTTACAGCATTTTTATTGTATTTTTTTGACAAATAGAGTTTGAATGAAAAAAAAAATCTTGCACTTTTATAGTAACTTTTATTAGATGAAATTGCTTTACAAAATCTCATTATGTTCTACAACATTTTTAAAAATAGGTATTATTATCCCCATTTTACAGATGGAGAAACTGAGGCACACAGCGGCTAACTGACCTGCCCAATTTACAGTACTGGTGGCTGAAATCTTAGGGTGTCCTATTGTATTCCACATGTAAAACAAAACTCAGCTAATTCTTAAGCTGCACAAATTCTTTACCTGTCATAAAGAATATATTCCTGAAAACGTCTAAGAGATAATTTAGTACTGGAACATGGAGTAGAGAGCGGCAGAAATGTGCCTTCGACAAATGAAACTGAGAACACCCATTTTCTTTAAAATGCCACCTGATTTACTGGCTAGCCACAGAGAAGATTTTTTCTCCTCATTTAATATTGTATTAACCAATTCCCATGCAACTCCCATGAATGCTAATAGAGGTTGCTTGTGCATGGTACTGTATATCCTATTGGATTTGTATGGTAACCCCACAGAAGTTGTGCTATGACCAAATCTTATTCTACACAAACACAATACTATATGGTGATAAATTCATTCTCTCAGTTTACCTATATGATCCATAAATTTCTTTACTCTGTCAGGATCAACACTATTTGCCCAATAACCTTTTTTCTTGAAATATGAACCAATTATTAAAGCATTTGCATCCAAGTAGTTCCTTGCATTCTCCAGCGTCACTCCAGACCCAATCAGCACTGGAATCTTCACAGCATGTTCAACTTCTAAGATGAAGAAAGCCACGTATGTAAATCCAACAATAGGATTAAGCCCACTCTAGAATCATTCTCCCTTCTCCCACCCTTAAAATTATAGGGACACAAAATTAATCAGCCTTGACTTATCCAATTTCCAACTGATACTTTGCTAAAAAATGATACTGACTGTCAGGAACACCTGGTCTTGGTTTCTCTGGTAAAGAATTACGTGGCTTGTCTGTAGAAACCACTTGTAATGACTGCTAACAAAAGAAGAGCAGCTCTGTGTAAGCTTTTGAGCTTGTCTCTCTCACCAACTGAGAATAAATAAAAGCTATTACCTCACCCACCTTGTCTCTCTAATATTCTGGGACCAACATGGCTACAACAATGCTGCATTTGTTTTGTAAACCACTATTCAAGCAAAAGAAACAAAGTTGGGGTCACACGAAACCACCATTGGCCATGCATCACAGGGCAGTTTCAGTGCTGAGGAAGAGGCAAAGCCTGCAACTGAAACAATTAACGGCCACTCTTGTGACCGCCACTCCACATGGGGCAATGACTATTTGGCAGTGAATCCTCTGGCCTCACTTGTACTAGCCCTTTCTTCTCCTGCCCCCACAAACCACGCTGCACGAAGATGCCCAAGAAGTAGGGTGGCCAATGCTCCTGGTTTCGTCGAGAGTCTACTGGAATCACGATCTGTCTCCCAGAGCTACTGCACCCAAACTGGGAGATTTTAAGCACTGACAGTCTGGCGGCGCAGCGGGGCTAAGGCAGGCTCCCTACCTGCCTTGGTTCCGCACTGCTCTCGGAAGCGGCCGGCACGTCCTTCTGGCTCCTGGGTGTGTGCGTGTCTCCGCGCGCTGCCCCCGCCCAGAGTGCCGACTCTATAGGTCCCATTGGCCAGGAACTGCAGCCAATGGGAGCTGCGGGAGCAGTGCCTGTAGACAGGGGCAGCGGCGTGTGGAGACCCCTTGGCCCCCCCGCCTAGGAGCCGCTGCCAGAGGGATGTGCTGGTCGCTTTTGGGAGCCGCCCGAGGTAAGCGCCATCCCCCTCACCCCCTCCTGTTCCCCAACCCCCGGCCCCAGTCCACACCCCAACTCCCTCCCAGAGCCTGCACCCCCTCCTGCACCCAAACTCCCTCCCAGAGCCTGCACCCTACACCCCAACCCCCTCCCACACCCCAACTCCCTGTCCCAGCCCACACCCCGCATCCCAAACTCCTTCCCCAGCCTGGTGAAAGTGAGTGAGGGTGGGGGAGAGAGAGGAAGGGGGGGTGGAGTGAGTGGGGACGGGGCCTCGGAGAAGTGGCAGGACAGGGACATGGGCTTGGGGAAGGGGCAGGACAGGAGGAGGGGAAGGGTGTTTGGGTTTGTGTGATTAGGCAGCTGGCAACCCTATCAAGAAGCCTCTGCTGAACTAAGCTTTTGAGGGAGCTCCCTTGCGCAGCAGAAGTACAATGGTTCTTCTGCATCTTGGATTCCCTTGTTACTAATATTACAGCAGTACCTAGCATCCAAATAAGATCAGAGCCTCATTTTACGAGGTGCTGTACAAACACATAGAAAGAGGCAGTCATTTATATTGAAGTAGCATCTAGAATAGAACCTAGATCACTCAAGTCAGAACCCAGTGTCTTGGGGACAGAATTTATTCCTATGGGAGTTACTTAAATACAAAAATAAGGATTCTTAACTGTGTTATCAATTTCTCTCTCATCCCAAAAGGAAAACAATAAAAACAAATCTTTCTAGATGGTAATTAAAGTGTAACAGCAACAAGAATAAGACGTTATTCTTGTTTCCATTTATGTCAGCACAGATGGGTTTTTTTGGGTGGAGGCGGTGAGATTATTAAAATGGCAGAACTATTCAATAGTGCTGTGTTCATTACAATTCTGTAGTTATCAGTTTAAATCACAATAATGGTAGTTGGAGCAGTGTATATTTCTACCAGGTCTCTTTGCTGAATTTATGCTATGCTGATGACTAGAACAAGATCTTCAGGGAAGAGGCAGCAAAACAGTGTTATTCCCCATGAAAGGAAAAGGAAAAACAGGCTCTCTAGTTGATCTTCTAATTTAGGGGAAGGGAAGCAGAGAAGCAAACAGTGGTCATAAGGACTATTTGGACAACTCCATCTACTTTATTTGCAGGCCAAAGGCAGTGCTAGTAAATATTATTTTTGTTTTAAAAGGGCAGTGGGACATAAAAGCAGCACATTATTTTATCTAGAAACAACACATCACTTAACAAGTCGAACCTTTACCAGGTTGCATATGGTGAAATTCACCCCGGGCACAAGACAAGACTTATGCAACACTGAAGTCCCTCTTCAGCCTTTGTGCAGTCCCTGTGCACAAGGGTGAATTTCCCTCAGATTTATTCAAGTGACTGTGTTCACTGTGAGATGTAAGCATTCTGAGGTTTTTGGGTTTTTTTTAATATGACAGAAATTGATACAAGGTCCAGAGAAAGTAGTTTGTTGTTCAGATCACAAATTTATTATTATGCTCAGTTTCTTTTATGGAGAAAGGACAGATGATTAACAGAAGTCTCTGAAAGGCACAAGTCAATATCTAGCTATGAAAAAATAAAGACTCAATTCTAATAGGTGCTGAACTTCCTCATCACCATTAACTTCAAATTGGTTCTCACAAAAATGACTCGGTGCCTTGCAGGATGCTCTATTTGCTTCCTCAAAGAAAATGGTGTAGAACATTATTTCTGACCTTTACAGAAATATAAAAATTGCTTTACTTGGTGATAACAAGCTGGAGTAGGTGGTTACAGCGTCAGAGGAAGGATACACATGTAAAATATAACTCTGCAAGAAAATGCTGTTTACTTTAAAGTTTCAGAAGAATTGTAACTTGTTAATGATGCTACAGGAAAGACTAATTATTTACTTCCATTCTGCTTCACCAAGAGAAGAGCTACCTATACAAATGCTACTGAAGCTTCCTCTAGGTCAGATGTGCTAGCATTCTTCCATCTAAAACAAACACCATCTGTCACATAATGTTAGGGTGACCAGATGTCCTGATTTTATAGGGACAGTCCCAATTTTGGGTTTTTTTTCTTATATAGACATCTATTACCCCCACATCCCGTCCCGATTTTTTACACTTGCTATCTGGTCATCCTACATACTGTAAACACAGAAGAATAAGACCATCCTACAGTGGAAGACAATTTTAAGGAAAGCCTTGCCCTGAATTAGACACATCAGATGAGTCGGGCTATAGCCCTTTTCATGCCTATTTTATATCCTGACAGGAGTCCTGCTCACAATAATAGATTCATTAGCTTTCCACTATATTACTGAACAAAAACAAAATCAGAATTTTATTTATACAATGCCCTATCTATTAAGAGTACTCTATCCGCTTTACTTAGGCTCAAATACAGATTTAACATGACATTCTTTTCACAGATATGCGTTGCAGTGCTCAACTGCTCTCCCAGGAGAATTTGGCCAAAAGTCTGTATTTGTTTTTATGAAAAGTGCACAGGACACATTGCCAGCACTACATAATTGTACTGAGTCAATAAGTAAACTGATCATGCAGGAAGAGTAGAATATCTAAGCTGACATATGGGCCCAAGAGAAGCCCTAAGAAGCAAAGACTAAGACAATGAAAACTGAAATGTGCTATTTCAAAGGCTTCCTTAAATAACAAAGGATCCAAGCATCCTGCAGTAATCTGTGTGTGAAGTGGACCCTCCACACACAGATCTGTCCTTTCCTGTGCAGAAGGTGGGGCCAGCCAGAAAGTACCAGGATAGGAAACATACATGGTCCTTACTGCCCACTTTGGCATTACATTTGGTTACCAAATTGAGTGTAAAGTCACTCAAATTATTTTAAACAGATACTTTCACACAGTAAGACATAATGTTGATCCAGGTCAAATGGTTTACATTTTGGTGTTGTTTAATAAGACTTGCACTATATCACTGCCCAAATTCTAACTTTTTATTTTTTAAATAGGCAACAGCATTATGGGAATCAGTGCAGTATGATGTTTCTGCGTAGTAGAATTTAACATTAAACACTACATTTGTTAATTGTCTCTAAACTCAAAACCTTGTTTATAACTCTTAAGCCAACTCTTCGCAAGCTACTGTACTTTTTCAGATAATTTTGTGACTATGTATTCTATGTGACAAGATCTCAAAGTTTATACAATTATACTTAGACATTCCTCTGCTTCAATAAACTATAACTAGAGGACACTGTGTTCTTCCTTGTGACAGTATATCTGCATACATGTCTAATAAAAATCAGATGAAATAGCAAAGCATAATGAAACCTTTTGAACTAGGATATGCACAAATTGCATGAAATAAAGGTCAACAATTCATAGCTTTAAAAAAAAAAGGTAAACAGTGTAAAACTAAACAATGCCCCAATAACTTGCTCAAATACTTTTCTTTAACATTTTATTCATATGCAATAATCATTGTACCATACACACCACTGTGTTTATGGTATATGCAGTACTGTAACACGTTTTAGTTATTTTAATTCAAAGGGCTTTGTTTCATCATTATGCCTAGTGCTTGTAAAAGGTGCAGATAGAGACAATGTCCTCTCTTTATCTATAGAACAGGTACAGCATGGGCAGCAGCAATGTGCTTGTACCCAACATAAGCGAACCACCTATGTGCAGAAAGGTAAATTGGTCTCCATGTTCCCACTGTGAACAATGCCAACAAAGGTCCAAATTATTACTATCTACTCTGGTGGTTTTTGTGACATGGGTACATGTCCAGCGGTTACTGGACTGCGACCACTAACTCATTTTCCCACAGTTCATCAAACAGTCATCAAATAGTAAAAACTTTTTAGTTACTTCCAACCTAGGCTGGATATGGACTGGAGATCTAAAGAAGAAAGCACCTATCCTCCAAAAGCAAGCCTTGAGCTATTTAGACTTGGACAAGTCTCCCATCATAGAAGTTTTTATAATATAATTTTGCCTATCTGAAAGATAAACACATTCTCAAATGGAAATATAGTCTGCTAAGAAATTAAGTGCAACATAAGCCCAGCATTCTAATGCCTGCTTCTTAATGGCCCAACAGAGGTAGAGTGCAAAAGCACAAGGGACTTTGGGTCCCTCACTTCCTAGACCAGTGCTGCTTAGGTACTTTGTAGAACTGAAGTAGCTGGGTACTACAGAGAGCCCAATCGTCACTGACTGTATAAGCAATGCCTGCCAGCTGCTGTGTGGAATGGACTGGTAGTTGCCTCAGAGGAGCCTGCTTGCCTGCACTCATAAACAGAGAAAAAGCGACGTATCTATAGTCATCTATAGAAGTTTTACAGAGAATAATACTTGAGAGATCCTCACAGTATCATGTGAAAGGACCTTTGGTCAGGGCTGGTCATGGCAAAGTATCACCACAATTAGGAGGCTTGAATTAAGGTATCAACATAATCTAAACAAAATTCTAGCCCCTTCACACAGTTTCCTTGTTTGACAGAAACACTTCTTTCCTACCTCAAATCACAGTCAATTCAATACATCAGAGACAAAGGCACTAGTATTTCTGTATTGCTGCATAACAAATCTGAAAAAGGATATGGCAAAATCTCAACTGCCTTTTCAGTTCTACTTTCAAGAGACAGCTGATCAGATCAAAGCTTAAGTTGGCATAAAATGTTTTAAATTATATATTTTGTAACATGATGAAAGGTGTCCAATTTTGTCTACACTTAACGTCTTCATTGTAACACAGTACTTCTAACAACACAAACTTGTGAAATGCAAAAATTCACTCACACCAACACTCAACTTTGTGACCGTAGGTCTGATTCTGTTAGAGAGATTACCAACACTGATGTGCTTAAACTCTCATTTCCGACCCAAGAATACTGATTTTTCAAGAGGTCCCTCCCCAATTAACAATTCAAAACTACCAACCCTCTTAAATGAGGGATTGCCACACTGTCATAAAATCTCAGCACTTAGCTGTGTGACCCAACCAAAACAAACCCAGAATACTAGGTTTGTTGTATTCATGAGACAAAAGTGAGAGCCACACAAATGGGTATACTTTGTGTCATTTCTCTGATCTCTGTTCTTTGGAGCCAGAAAGAGAATAAAACTGGCACGTATACATAAATTCTAGAATCCATGGTTTGGCTTGGTTGGTATCCCACTGTAAAAAACTATAGGACAAAATCTGCTCTCTGATGCGTGAGGTGGCACCCACCAAAGTCAAGGGAAGCTACACACATCCTAGAACAGAATTTTGCCTTCTGGTTTTTACGACTTTTTGAGACTTATTTGTTTTTTTCCATTGAAGAAGGGGGAAACAAAAACTAATTTAAGGGTGTGGATGATACAAAGGTTAAGTCTGTCAAACTTTAGAGTCACATTGTTTTCAGAAGGTTCTGTTTCATGAAACAATTTTTGTTTTAATACTGAGAAAATCTATTACTTTAAGAGGCCTATCTTCATACATAGCCAGCTTTCCACTGCAGTTTACCTAAGGGTGGGCTAAAATGTAGTCATTTATCATCTATTCTTTGGCAAGGACTTTGTTTTAATTCTGTATATGCACATGAAAACCTAATTTGTCAAGTTTAATATGCCCTGTAACAACATAGTGTTGAACCTGTATTGTATGGATAAATATTGGAAATTTCCACTAACTATGTAACATTCTGAATGTGGTCTGATACGCAGGTCTCTGTGGTAAATATGTAAAACATGTAGTATGTTTATCACCTGCCTTTTCTTCTTTAGAATTGTAATAAGGAAGGATGAATGACTGGCTGTCTTTAGACCAGAAAGAGCCATGTTTAAAGCAGCAAGAATGGAACCCACAAAAGCAGCCTTCTTGTTTCTTCAAACATGATTTTTGCTAAAAATGTTCCCAGTCTTGGTTGAGCATATGATGATTACTTTTAGAGCCTGACCCTGGGAGGTGATGAACACCAGCCATATCGATGGGAGCCGACTTCAAATGAAAGTTGCAGGTGCTCAGCATTTCTCAGATTCAAGCCATTCATCTACGTGAATATCAGTCCTTAGCACAATGAACTGTAACAAAGGAGCAATCCAATTTGTTGAAGACAATTCCAACCTGTGCCAATATAGTAACATCAGGCACCATACATGATATCTACACAGGTCAGAATTCATGGGTCAAGTTATTCTCTCTTAGAAACAAATACGCCTTTAAAAATAATTTAAATGTCACATACTTTTCCACTTATCAGAGAAAGAGAATTCTTTTTCAACTCTTAAAGGCTACACTTCCCCTAGTATTACTGAACCGAAATGTCCAAATCTCGGCAGATTCCTCTCTTGCTGCTGGAATATGTGTTTCACAATGAGAAATCCAATTATAAATAGTCTTTCCATGTTAATAGTTAAGTATTTTTAACTAGTCTAGTTATTAGCCTATTTTTTAAAAAAAGGCTATGGAGAATCTCATTCTTAAATTAAAATCATGTAGAAATTAAGCCTTCCTTTTCTTACAAGATGCCAATATGAGTAACACTTAAATGTTACCAAGCATACTTTCCCAATACTTACAATAATTTTAACTTTTATGCCATAAAAATTGTTTTTATAAACATGCTACTGTATATCCAACCAAAACCCAAATCACGCTGGTTTGTGCGAGACCAAATCAAACACTAGGGTGAAAGAAAGTTTCTCTGTTTTTAGAACAGAGAATGTATAGATTTCTCTCTATATTTAATCCAGAAAATGATTCACTGGTTGTTGCCCGACCTTCGTGTGACAGCTCTCACCTTTCAATTCTTTAGGATCTGCCTGCATTCCAGTAGCTGTTCCAGTCAATACAATCCCATCAGCAAGGAAGAGCTCAGCAGCCTTAGCAGTCTCTGATATACTGACATCTGCTGTCAGAGCGTGAGCGCTGTAAACAGCAGAAACATAACCTGTTGTTACTTTCAGCATACATACTTGCTATCCACCTTGTTTAATGTTAGGCTGCTTTTCTTACAACTCATGATTGTATTTCAACTCCCTGCTGTCAGAACAACTGAAGATTGACTTTTGAGTGTTAAGTGCCCCCTTTTTTTTTTTTTTTACAGTTGACATTAAAAACACAATGTGAGGGAAAAAAAAGTTTGGTCATCCTAGACCCATAACCCACTTGTCTCTTTGTCTGGGTCTCACCCTGTCTACACAATGACTGCTAAATGTGCTAGACTGTCACCCTGGAGTACCAACTGAGCTGGCAGCTTTTGTAGTGAGTGCCTAATTTTCATAGATGCTGAATTCCCCTGATTTCAAGTGGATTTGTAGGTGCTCGGCGTTTCTGTAAATCAGGTCCTTGTCCTGTAGGAACTGGACTAGGAGCATCATCTCATTTCATAAAGGCCAACAAAAAGAACTAACTTTCAGTCATTAGCAAGCACTATATCCTGGATATCTGTCTTTGGAGGAAAAAATGAGAGCAGCTATCATCTTCAAACAGTAGTTGCTTCATGCATCCAAAGATGTACCATTCAAGTAAGCTAGCCTCTTTTTCTGAAACCTATATCTAGAGCAACCTCAGCTTTAGACAGCTTCAAAAATTTGAGAAAGTTTTAGCCTTTGAAACACCAACTTTTACATTTATAATTTCCCCCTATCTTTTCTACAATAGAATCAGAAAATACGATATTTAACACAGACAATATTATACAGTAACCTGATACTCTGTTATGGTAGTACAGAGCACTAACCACAAAAGACCAGTAGTCCTGGGACTAGTGTCCTTCTTTCTGGGCCAACCAGATCTGGGAATGGAATAGAAGGAACTTGCTTCAGTCATATTGAGAGGCAATGCCTCTTCTGGCATATTCACTCTGCCATGACCCTCTCCATCAGTGTGACTGTGCTAAAAAAAGAATACCAAACAACTTTTTGCAGCCAGAAGAAAGTCATTGTGATGTCAGGGCCTTGATGAAGTTGTGCATATGTAAAAATATGGAGGGAAAAAACAGAGTGAAAGGAAATGGAAATCCCTAACGCTAGTAACGAAGGATAACCTGGGAAACAGTTTGTCAAGTTAGAGAATTGGACACTGCTAATTCTTGGTGCCAGGCATTTTGTTGTTGTTGTTAGGAAAACACCACAGCCTTTTAACCCCTGCCCTTTAGTTCAATAATCCCATGAATATTTGTTTCCCATAAACTGGTTAGATGACATTCTCCTTTCCACTATTAACTAAGCAAATAACAAACACCACATTGCATCAGCCTATGAACAATTCAGTGTACATTCTAAATATCAGTGTCTCATATGACAAAGATGAGAATATGTGCATGAAGTACCACATTCTGGGACTTCTCAGAAGAAGAAATATCATTGCACAGATGTTCAGAATATGGAGAGGTGAAGTTAGAAAGTAAATGCTTTGAAGGAACCTTTAAACTTATGTTGAAAATGCGGCATATCATTTATTATAATGAAATGTTTCTTTTTTTAAACCAGGTATTAAATATGCCCCAAACCTAGCTATTTCCATGACTTTTCCCACACTCCACACACAAATCTTTCTTGAATTCAAGCTACTTGATATGCGCAATACACAGCTTTTTGGTTCTCTCTTTTTCTGAATTAAATTTCAAAGAAACATCTAATAACAGAAAGGACTGTATGACAATTGTGATGAAATGTCAGCTTGAATTCACATAGCTGTCATAAGATGCTGCTGCCTGATAATCATAAAACATACTCCATATCCACATACAGCACTGATTTAAAATTGAAGAAACCAATATTAGAGGGAAAGGGATAAGAGCTTTTAATGTGGCAAAAATTTCATGATTTGTATGTGTCACATTTGGTAGCCACCCATATAACTTAGCTATTAAAATATTAATATTAACTTAGCTATTAAAATAGCTATTTTAGATGCTTACCCTCATGAAACATGATTTATTTGTAAACATAATAAGGAGATACATCTAACTGATATAAAGCATCACCTTATGTCAGAAACAAGACATTTACAAATTCTGAAAGTTAAACAACTGCAAATTACACAGATGCAGAAAGCTGCAGTTTGTAAGGACAAGTTTAATAGTTTTGCAAGACCCTGTGTGAGCAGTAAAGTTCTCCCAATATTCACTTTCTGAGTAATTAATAAGATTAATGTAAAATGAACATCAGATTATTTTTACATTAACACATATGTAAACAGTGCGCATATTTACCTGTGTTTCTTTTTAATATCGGCAAAAATTTGAACATGCTGTGCTCCGATTTGTTTTCGGTATCTTAGCAGATCACCTGCACAGGCATTTATAATCCCTTCATCAGCAACATGAGAAAAAACAAACCCTTCAACTCGGATAAAATCCAGACCTAGAAAAGAAATTTGAAATCTGAAGATGAAATTGAACTGCAAAGAGAAATTACATTTCTCCTAAATTTCATCCTGTAATTACATTTTCAGTCTATTCTGATACAGTATTGAGAGGTTCTCAGACACTAGCACAAAAAGCAAGTCTCTGCTGATAAGTAGTTTGTCAAGCCTAGTTAAAACATGTGTTAAAGATTTTTAGTGCAACCCATCACCGTAGCCTCTAGGTGCAAGGCATACATCAAGAGCAACACAAACTGAATTTCCACAAACAGCCCCCCCCCCGTACCTCCTAGGCCCACTACAAGGAAAAACCCGTAAGCTGGATGGTGAGCTACTTCCTAATTGCAGCTAAGATACAATCTTTGGATTTCGATGTACAAATTTCAAATTTTAGAATAAATTTCTAAAACTTTCTGCAGTTTTTATTTAATTGGTCAAATTTAGAGATCTGGCCCTGCAATTCTTATAGAGATTGAATGCCTATTAAAATAGAAAGGGAGTTTTGCTTGAATGCAAAATCAGGCCCCAATTAAAAATGATTTTCAGTTGTGAATTTAGAACATTATTGGTAATCCAGTAAAATGGCAGTTCTCAAACTTTTGCATACTGTGGGGCACTATTTAAGACAATGACTTTCATTTCTCCCTTTCCCCCACATTCTCTCCCCTCCCAGTGTACCAAACTCACATTTGCCTTGCATCAACTATAGTGTTTGATTCTAAGAAGAAGCAACAATAGGTAGTAAAGGAACAAGATGAATCTAAGGTAATTATATGGCTCCCAGTACTGTGGAATCTGAGAATCTCCCTATCTTTAGTGTATTTACACTGTGAGGTAGGAAAGTGCTATTATCTCCTGTGATGGGGTATGCACCCCACACTTTCTCTTACTACTATAGTTATTTTTCCAGAAACCTCTTAGAACAGATGTTCACCACAGTTGCCAACTTTCACACAGTAAATAAGCACCCTGACTTTCATAATAAGCCCAAAAATCAAGCTAATCCCATTTCAAAACAAGCCCCAAACAAGCCAATCCCTAAGAACCCCAACACTCTATGCCCTGGTCTACACTAGGAGTTTAGGTCGAATTTAGCAGCGTTAAATCGATGTAAACCTGCACCCATCCACATGATGAAGCCCTTTTTTTCGACTTAAAGGGCTCTTAAAATCGATTTCCTTAATCCACCTCTGACAAGTGGATTAGCGCTTAAATCGGCCTTGCCGGGTCGAATTTGGGGTACTGTGGACGCAATTAGACGGTATTGGCCTCCGGGAGCTATCCCAGAGTGCTCTATTGTGACCACTCTGGACAGCACTCTCAACTTAGATGCACTGGTCAGGTAGACAGGAAAAGGCCCGCGAACTTTTGAATTTCAATTTCCTGTTTGCATGGTCACCTGCAGCTTGCCACGCTGGCCAGAGCTCATTAGCAGAGGTGATCATGCAGAGCTCATCAGGAGAGGTGACCATGACGGAGTCCCAGAATCGCAAAAGAGCTCCAGCATGGACCAAACAGGAGGTACGGGATCTGATCGCTGTATGGGGAGAGAAATCCGTACTATCAGAACTCCGTTCCAGTTTTCGAAATGCCAAAACCTTTGTCAAAAATCTCCCAGGGCATGAAGGACAGAGGCCATAACACGGACCCGAAGCAGTGCCGCGTGAAACTTAAGGAGCTGAGCCAAGCCTACCAGAAAACCAGAGAGGCAAACGGGCGCTCCGGGTCAGAGCCCCAAACATGCCGCTTCTATGATGAGCTGCATGCCATTTTAGGGGGTTCAGCCACCACTACCCCAGCCGTGTTGACTCCTTCAATGGAGATGGAGGTAACACAGAAGCAAGTTTTGGGGATGAGGAAGATGATGATGATGATGAAGTTGTAGATAGCTCACAGCAAGCAAGCGGAGAAACCGGTTTTCCCGACAGCCAGGAACTGTTTCTCACCCTGGACCTGGAGGCAGTACCCCCCAGACCCACCCAAGGCTGCCTCCCGGACCCACCAGGCAGAGAAGAGACCTCTGGTGAGTGTACCTTTTAAAATACTATACATGGTTTAAAAGCAAGCATGTTTAATGATTAATTTGCCCTGGCATTTGCAGCTCTCCTGGATGTACTACCAAAGCCTTTGCAAAAGGTTTCTGGGGAGGGCAGCCTGATTCCACCCACCATGGTAGGACACTTTACCACACCAGGCCAGTAGCACGTACTCGGGAATCATTGTACAACAAAGCATTGCAGTGTATGTTTGCTGGCATTCAAACAACATCCGTTCTTTATCTCTCTGTGTTATCCTCAGGAGAGTGATATCATTCATGGTCACCTGGTTGAAATAGGGTGCTTTTCTTAAGGGGACATGCAGAGGTGCCCGTTCCTGCTGGGCTGTTTGCCTGTGGCTGAACAGAAATGTTCCCCGCTGTTAGCCAGGGGCGGGGGGGAGGGGCTAGCCACGTGGTGAGGGGAGGCAAAATGTGACCTTGGAATGAAAGCACATGTGCTGTGTATGTAATGTTAACAGCAAGGTTTACCGTGAAAGAGTATAGCCATTGTTCTAGAAAATGTGTCTTTTTAAATACCACTGCCTCTTTTTTTTTTTTTCCCACCAGCTGCATGTGTTTCAATGATCACAGGATCTTCTCCTTCCCAGAGGCTAGTGAAGATTACAAGGCGAAAAAAAAGCACTCGTGATGAAATGTTCTCTGAGCTCATGGTATCCTCCCACACTGACATAGCACAGACGACTGCGTGGAGGCAGACAATGTCAGAGTGCAGGAAAGCACAATATGACCGGGAGGAGAGGTGGCGGGCTGAAGAGAGTAAGTGGCGGGCTGAAGAGAGGGCTGAAGTTCAAATGTGGCGGCAGCGTGATGAGAGGAGGCAGGATTCAATGCTGAGGCTGCTGGAGGATCAAACCAATATGCTCCAGCGTATGGTTGAGCTGCAGGAAAGGCAGCAGGAGCACAGACCACCGTTACAGCTCCTGTGTAACCAATCGCCCTCCTCCCCAAGTTCCATAGCCTCCTCACCCAGACGCCCAAGAACGCGGTGGGGGAGCCTCCGGCCACCCGGCCACTCCACCCCAGAGGACTGCCCAAGCAACAGAAGGCTGGCATTCAATAAGTTTTAAAGTTTTAAAGTGCTTTGTGGCCTTGTCCTTCCCTCCTCCACCACCCCTCCTGGTGCTTCTCTCCTCCACCATCCCTCCTGGGCTACCTTGGTAGTTATCCCCCTATTTGTGTAATGAATGAATAAAGAATGCATGAATGTGAAGCAACAATGACTTTATTGCCTCTGCAAGCGGTGATCGAAGGGAGGAGGGGACGGTGGTTAGCTTACAGGGAAGTAGAGTGAACCAAGGGGCGGGGGGTTTCATCATGGAGAAACAAACAGAACTTTCACACCGTAGCCTGTCCATTCATGAAACTGGTTTTCAAAGCTTCTCTGATGAGCACCGCACCCTCCTGTGCTCTTCTAACCGCCCTGGTGTCTGGCTGTGCGAAACCAGCAGCCAGGCGATTTGCCTCAACCTCCCACCCCGCCATAAACGTCTCCCCCTTACTCTCACAGATATTGTGGAGCGCAGAGCAAGCAGTAATAACAGTGGGAATATTGGTTTCGCTGAGGTCTAACCGAGTCAGTAAACTGCGCCAGCGCACCTTTAAACGTCCAAATGCACATTCTACCACCATTCTGCACTTGCTCAGCCTGTAGTTGAACAGCTCCTGACTACTGTCCAGGCTGCCTGTGTACGGCTTCATGAGCCATGGCATTAAGGGGTAGGCTGGGTCCCCAAGCATAATTATAGGCATTTCAATGTCCCCAACTGTTATTTTCTGGTCTGGGAATAAAGTCCCTTCTTGCAGCTTTTGAAACAGACCAGAGTTCCTGAAGATGCGAGCGTCATGTACCTTTCCCGGCCATCCCACATTGATGTTGGTGAAACGTCCCTTGTGATCCACCAGTGCTTGCAGCACTGTTGAAAAGTACCCCTTGCCGTTTATGTACTCGCCGGCTTGGTGCTCCGGTGCCAAGATAGGGATATGGGTTCCGCCTATGGCCCCACCACAGTTAGAGAATCCCATTGCAGCAAAGCCATCCACTATGATCTGCACATTTCCCAGGGTCACTACCCTTGATATCAGCAGATCTTTGATTGCGTGGGCTACTTGCATCACAGCAGCCCCCACAGTAGATTTGCCCACTCCAAATTGATTCCCGACTGACCGGTAGCTGTCTGGCGTTGCAAGCTTCCACAGGACTATCGCCACTTGCTTCTCAACTGTGAGGGCTGCTCTCATCTTGGTATTCTTGTGCCTCAGGGCAGGGGAAAGCAAGTCACAAAGTTCCATAAAAGTGCCCTTATGCATGCGAAAGTTTCTCAACCACTGGGAATCATCCCAGACCTGCAACATTATGAGGTCCCACCAGTCTGTGCTTGTTTCCCGAGCCCAGAATCAGCATTCCACCACATGAACCTGGCCCATTAGCACCATGATGCCCACATTGCCAGGGCCCCTACTTTGAGAGAAGTCTGTGTCCATGTCCTCATCACTCTCGTCACCGCGCTGACGTTGCCTACTCGCCCAGTTTCGCTTTGTCAGGTTCTGGTGCTGCATATACTGCTGGATAATGTGCGTGGTGTTTAATGTGCTCCTAATTGCCAAAGTGATCTGAGCAGGCTCCATGCTTGCCGTGGTATGGCGTCTGCACAGAAAAAAGGCATGGAACGATTGTCTGCCGTTGCCCTGATGGAGGGAGAGGCAACTGACGACATGGCTTACAGGGTTGGCTTACAGGGAATTAAAATCAACAAAGGGGGTGGCTTTGCGAGAAACTGAATGGTCCCCTCAAGGATAGAACTCAAAACTGGGTTTGGCAGGCCGTTGATTTCACACAGGGAAGGAGAAAATGAATACAAAACATATCTGGTCTACTTCTTGTTTTGAGCCACTTCATCTATCTTTATACATCTTGCTGGCAGCAGACCGTGCAGTACGACC